GGACTAAATCTGCGGAATGTTTATGGAATAAAAATGATATGCGGTATTATAAGTTCATAGTTAGCGAGATAGTTAGGAGACTACATGATATTCCAAAACAATATCTAGTATCACTACTGGAGGTAATACCAATAGTGTTATTATCATGGTGTTATTAATAATCAGGTTTTGGTCGATACCACCAACATAGCAAAATCTAATGCTGATGAAGATACTATAATGATAGTGAGCATGTGGACACGATTTGAAATTGGAGTGGTATTATAACCAGGTATTGCGAGAAGCTATTAAAAGTTTGAACTATAGACAGACTTCTCATTCACTGTATACATTAGGACGCATCTTAGCTGTAGTATTTACGTTTGTTATTTATACTTTATGTTCTATTCAGACTAATGATAATCTCACTTCAGCACTAAGTAAGAAAGAGATAGAACATATCAATACAGTGTTAAAGAAAAAATGCTATGCTTTTACTAATGCTTTCCATCTATTATATGCTGGGTATTGGTATGCACTTGCATTAGCAGACAATGCATTATTAATGTCCTTTGATACTCTATCTATTTGGTTGGATACTATTATAACTAAGCTTAGCATTGAAATTGATATACATAATATCACTACTGATGAGAATACTGCGATTATTGGTAAGCGTATTACTCGGAATGCACTAATGCTAAGGTAGGAGAATTCGAAAATTTATGTCAACTTTCGTTAGTGTTGATATTTCAGTTACGTATATCATCGTATATTACTAGACACTCCTCATTATCTACAGCTGTTTCCCCATCATATCCAATCGATACTGCAACGATTTAACAATAGCAAATCCACGAATGATGACAATAGTATCATTATGGAGGATGCTGCTGTACTTCAACAACATAATAGTGTTATTACCATTTCTAACGCCTATGCTCATGGTACTAACATTATCACTGATAAAATGGAGTTCCACTCGTTTTACGTGAAGTGGCGCAGTGTGGGAATATATGCAAATGGTCAGCTACATGTGTTGCTAGGAATATGGGAATTTTGAGGAAATTTTGCCAAATTATCGTTGATTTCTGTATACTTATACCCAAAATCGTGTAATTTTCCATAAATAGTGAGGAGGCCTACGAGCTCAGTTGAGGAAACCAAACATATATTCCCAGGCTGAAGTAACGTAATACTCTGTGAGAAAACCCGTTATTCACAGTATGCAGTAGTTTGTGAAATATGTATTCTCACTAGTGTTTTCATAGCACTAGGGTGAGACTCCAATGATGATATTAATCTGCATTATTTCAGCTCAGCATCCAAGTGATTATCCCCTGCCTGGGCAGTGCTCATTCTTTTCGAATTTCATATTGCGTAAAATTAGAGATGATAACACACAAGATGACAATGATGAACAACTACAGCACTTCAGAGGAATATTTGTAGTACTGGGTAGAAATTTCAGTATTATTGGAGTTTCACCCGTTTTACATGAAGTGGCGTAATACTCGGTGAAACACGCGATATTCGTGGTGATATGCAGTAGTCGTGAAATATATTTTCACTGGTGTTTTTCATATCACTAGGGTGAAACTCCATTATTATTATCATTATCATCAGGTTGGACCAGTATTCATACGCTTAGCTGACCCTCTGAGGCGACTCGCAGTGCTATGGGAAGCTCCACATCTTCTAGAAGTGATAATAATATTGATGTTGTTTATCATAGTCATTATACTCATGTCAGCCTGGGTACCGAGAAAAGGAGTGCAAATACTACGACAAACTCAACAGGAAAATACTCACATATTATAATTGGAAATTCATATTAGTGCATTATGACAAAGGTGATAATTTATCAATGATAATCTTCAATTCGAAGCTAGATACATTACCAAACTTATCGCAATATATATCAACATTACAGCTATCACCCGTTCATAATGATGATGATAAGATTTGCATAATAACACCAACAGTTTCTCGACACGATAATAGTGCATGTTGAAGTTGTTTCTGCACTGTTCTGTTTCGTGTTTATCATCAATACCATAATCTCTACAATTCAGTTGTTATCACTATGGCTGATACTGAGGCGTCTGAACGTAATGTTGGCAGTGGTGCGGTACTCGTATCGTTGGCAATCTATGTTGGTATATTTGTTGTTATTATAATAATATTTACTCTTATACACTATAAATGTGTGAAGCTGTATAATCCACGTGAATGCATACCACAGTTGAGGTCGCCACTATCATCGTGGTATCATAACAGGTTTACGTGGATAAAGGAAGCATTTACTATCAGCGATGATGATATATACAATTATTCTGGTCTAGATGCTGTAGCATTCATCAGATTGTTGAAGTTAGGATATAAAGTGGCTATAGTAGGAGTATTGAATTCTATTTACTTGATACCTACTTATAAATTTTCCGATAATACTACTTCTACTAATAATGATGAGTTGGAAATGTGGAGTCTTGGCCATCTCATACCAAACAGTCCAGGCTTATGGGCGGCCTTCATTGCGTCCTACATTATATTCATGTTCACGATGTATCTTATTTATCACGAGTTCCGATGGTATTGCACTAAGAGGCACGATTACTTATCACGTATTAGGGTTGATAACTATAGTATATATGTATGTGGTATACCTACAGAAATGCAATCAAATCAACAGTTACGAAGATTCTTTAACAACGTGATGCCCAATACGGTAGCTGATGTTAGTATAGCATTGGAGATAGATGAGATAGAGAAAGCTGTTGGTAAGAGGGCCTCTGTTGTTAGTAAGCTCGAGCATGCATATAATGTGTTGAAGTATAAGGGTGTACGTCCTAAGCATAAGGTGAAGATATGTGGTAAAGAAAAGGTGGATAGTATTGATTTCTATGAGAATCAACTTGAAGAGTATAACACTCAAATATCGGCTTTTATCACTAAGGCTGTTGAATACCAGGAGAAGGCTCATGATGATAGTATGGACGACGACGACGATGATGATGATACTAAGAAGAAAAATAAGTTGGCATTTGTTACTGCATTACCGTCTCGTATCGTACATGGTGTTCTTGGTAAGGATGATATTAACACTAGATCGGGAGCATTCATTACATTTAATAATCTCAAGTCATCAATGGCAGCTCGGCAAATGGTACATTACAAGATACCATTTATTATGAGTACAGTACCGGCGCCTGCTGTTAAAGATGTTTATTGGTCAAATGTTGGTATATCACATTATCGGCAACAATTGGGTGTATTATTATCGATAGTATTAACGATATGTTTATGTATATTCTGGACTATACCCGTAGCGTTCGTGGCATCAATATCAGAAGTAGATAATCTCAAGAGGGAGTTTAGCTTCATTAACGATGCCTCTAATGCTTGGCCCGGTTTGGATTTACTACTAAAACAAATATCTCCAATACTACTAGCTGTGCTTAATGCACTACTACCAATATTCTTGATGGTATTTTCCAAACAAGAAGGCCACATATCTAGCGCTACATTAGATGCCTCGTTATTCGCAAAACTCGCCTTATTCTTCATTATTCAAACCTTCTTCGTCAGTGCTATTGCTGGTAGCCTATTCACTAGTCTCCAGCAACTTGTTGATAATCCTGCTGGGACTATACGTGATATCTTGGCAACCAATTTACCACAACAAGCTAACTTCTTTATTGCTTTCGTATTCGTTGAAGTTGGTCTAGGGTTAGGCCTCGAGCTCATTAGATTGGTACCGTACATAATATCAGTTATAAGATCATTATTCGGTCCTAATCTAACAGCTAAGGAACGTAGTTCTACATGGTTGGGGTTACGTCCACTTAGTGTACCAGTTACTTTGGACCAACCGAAGCTGCTATCTGATGTTATGTTATTTTTCATGATATTATTTGTTTACTCGATATTGTCACCAATAGTAAGTCTGGTCATGTTATTCGCATTCTTATCAATGAATGTGATATATAAGCACCAATATGCTCATGTGTATGATCCTAGTAACGACACGGGTGGCCAAATGTGGACGCGTGCTATGCGATATATATTGTTCTGTCTGATCATTGCCGAGTTCACGATTATCGCAGTGATAGGTATCAAAGAAGGTAAGATTGTAGCGCCGCTGATGGCGCCTCTATTCATTATGACCATATTGTTCTGGGTCTATCTCGAACAACAACATTTCACTGTAGCACAGTATTTACCTTCTTATACTGCTGCTAATATCGACAATATATACAATGAATATAATGATGATAGAATAACAACATCATCATGGAAAGGTGCCTATATGCAAGAGGCATTGAAGGTGCCCTTGCTACAACCCAATACTGATCAGAGTGATGATGATGAAGAGGAAGAAGATGATTATGATGATAGACCTGTTGCAGGTCTGGATGAAGTCATTGTTGATACCCGAAAGGAGTCGAAGCTATCTACGCCGAGGACTGAAGATATTCCATGATGATTATTATTAGAGATTTTGATTATCACAGTCTTTTACCTTCATCGTGTTGTTGAGTTAAAATATTTATGTGACACAACACGTGGATGGTAAGAACAAAAACACAACAAGTTACACTCAATTATACCGTTTCCGCAGTGATGATGATGATACCTCTGAAATTGGATCATCAGTGATCTCGGTGATATCTCCCGACTGTAATGGATTGGTATCAAACATTTCTGTATCTTCATATATCGGCTCGGTCATAGTAGACGGTATATAACTGAGTAGTGATAACGTGTATCATCATGCATCGTGTATAGGTTACTACGTATTGATTGGTATAAGCCATAATAACCTATTACCACTACCAGCTATCTCAGTGAATGTATCAATCAATGATGATACGCGTCTTCCTCTTGTTCGCTTATATCTAAGACAAGCCTCTATAGAGTACTATTATGGTTTTGACAGTACGTTTCTATGAGTGTGGTATTGGTCTCCAGATTATCAATCTGATCAGACAAGTACTCGACGGTCGAGTACAATCCATATGCACTGATCGCGCCCACGACAAACTACCAAGAATGATAATTATAATAACGAAGATATGATCCTCACCAGTAGTGCTATTGACTCCCGATACTCCTCGTTCCCATTAGTATCATCATCAATATTACTAGTTGTTAGAATGTGAGTATAAACGTATGTTATTATCACTCTCACCACGTGTAGTACGTATGTTGCACTGAAGATAAGCGTCTGAATATGATGATGATAAAATCGATTATTATGTCGTACTTACGTATATTAAGAATAATATGAATAGCTTCTGATTCTTATACCCTACACAGTTGTTAATCCATATACAATGATGATCCATCCTGAATGAATCCATTTGCCTTATTCCTCATCTATCGTAACTACCTGTATACGCATCTCTGACATCGGCTACAGTGATGTGCTCTTAACGGCTTCCATGACCCGGTACATTTGATACATACATTACTACCATCCGGAGGTATAGTCCAATCAACGTATCCAGGATCACCCAATGAGGCTCTGATTACTATCATGCTACTACCACTACTGTATATGATCGTTATTAGTACTACTACCCTATATGAGCTACTATCGCCATTGATCCAGTAGTCAATCGTATGCATAGCAATATTAATGGTAATATGTGATATGATGATGATGCAAGCGCAGTAGTAGTATTATAATAGTATATGGCAATAGCCTCGAATAGGAGTATTACACACCATACCTGGTATAGCTCTACTATAACTGAGAATTGTACTAGTTATTACCGTTATAACATATACTACCCCCAGGACCTTATCCACGATACCCGGTTCCCTATCTATAACCGTCAATAACGATACAATGCGCTCACTATTAATATAACTACCTTCTGCAGCTACTTCATCATCAATAGTACTACCATTTATGGTAGTCATATCCAGTGTCGAGGATGTTGATCAAGGCGAGAGAGAGAAAGAACATGTATCATATGGTCGCAGGTTCGATCCCGGACGACTTCATCTCCAACACAAGAACTCACTCATGTTGTCCACCTTATTGTGATAATCTTGATGCTCTCACGGCTTGAGCTACTAGTGCTTATACTTCAGTCATGGTGTTTATGCTAACTCCTCATCACTTGCTATCATCGAGCAATCCTCACAGTAGGTAGCTGTAACACGATGCTACCCCACCCATCGTATGATGATAGGATTCCCCATATCGGGATGGTCGGATATTACACATCGTCCTCCACCTGGTCTAACAGCATCATCAGCATGTTGGCTGAAGTAATAGAGCATTATCAACACATTGTGATAATGCTCAGTCATCATTCATTGAAGAATCCATGGTTGTACATATCAAAGGAGCTCAGCAATAACCATCACCAACAACGGCTAGCCTATACAGATATCGGAGATAAACTGTTTATTAGTAGGTATACTTAGCATACTGATTACACAACTTATTATCATACAGATACCGATAGTAAATGTCGTGAGAATGATGATATATTCAACAAACAGTTGATTCATCCAGCTATGGTCATACCATAATTCTAGCAAAAATATTGAAGACGGTGATAATGATAGGTATTCAGAAAAGACGTTGCACGATTGCATGTGAACCTCTTGGATGTGAGCAACAAGGCTAATCCCAAGTTACTCTGGGTGAACACTGTAGATATTTCCAACTGTATAGAACTCGTATAGGATGCTGAATATCGAGGCCCAACTACATCGGGTCCACTGAAGTTGGGTCATAGAGATGATGCTTTTGGTGGTATACAACCGAATATCATCAGACCATGCATACCAGCAAATGGTCATATTGGACAACACCCAATGAAGTAATATGATATAGACGTGTTATCATCATTATTCAAGTAGATTCATCCTCACTATAGAAGCGAAGAAGGATCACTCATGGCCTATGGCGTTCCCCTTCAAAGAGACTTATGTACTCAAACCTCGTCCACAGTGCGATTATGTCATATCACGCTGATACTCATGTTATACATGGCCATGTATGAACCTCATTAATGATAGTGTTCGGGTTGTAGTAGTAGTAGTAGTAGTAGTAGTAGTAGTAGTAGTAGTAGTAATAATAGTAGTAGACTATATAACTCATCAACTTATTCATACAGAGAAAGGTGAACATGGGATACAATCATCATGATCATTATGGTTTAGCCGACTTCTTAGTGAGATCATCACGGCGACGCTGTTCATGATACCTAAATGGCAATGATGGAGCCATCTATACGACAATGATGATGGCGACATTTCCTTGGCTTCAAGTAGTTGATCATATGATGATTTGATCTCCTCTTGAAGTTCATTAACATGAGCGTAACTCATATTAAGCTCAGCTGCCACAGCTTTCATGCATCTAGTCTTCTTGGCAAGCTCCTATAACACCAATAATCATACATTACTATCATCATCATTACTACTACCCTCTGAAGATCAGTGGCTTCCCGTGCGAGATCCACACCTGTCACTATTCCTTCACCCGTACCTTCCTCCCCTTCCCCCTTGGTTGTTTCATCCATTAGTACTCTATACAACTCCAGTCGATGTTCTTCTTTACTCTACAGCAAACAACAATAATCTATTTGCAAGAATGGTTGTTCACCTGTAATTCTAAATCATAGTTCACTAACTCTTCACTTTTCCTTATCAATCTTTTCTGCAGAGTATTGATCTTATCCTCGAGTTCGCCTCTGAATACTACTGTAACGATAGTACTTCAACAACAGCATCATCATCCCACATATTGAGATCAGTTCCCTCCAGTGCACGCCATCGCTGCGTGTTATCAGGATTCTCCAACTCCTCGACTAGTCCCTGTGCACTCCCATTAATGAGCATTTCTAGGGAGGCCTCCTTACCCGAACTTTACTTTTCTCTTTCATCAATTCTTGTTGTAGTCGGTACACTTCATTTCGTAACGACGCCTCTAGGCTTGAGTGTACGCCGATATCACTAGCACGCCCTTACCCTCGTCAACTTGGATATTCAGATTGGCAATATTCCTCTTCGTCGATTCCATCACCAAACTTATGCTTCTACCTGAGCTCATGCTCACTACATATGATAATAAGGTGAACACCTTCATCTTCTTTTCTACTATGTTCGACACTGCCCTCATCAATAGTGTTCTCTTGTACTCTCAATTTTTCATACCTAATATCGATGGCAACGGCAAAGGCTATTCCTCATTATTACAATAAAGCAAGTTCATCATTACGACGAACCAGGTTGGCCCCCATTATATCCTTTTCTGCCATCAACGACATATATTCCTTCTCAATCTTGCCTTTCTCTTTTTCAATCTTCTTCAATTCATCTTCAAGTTGTTCATTACGTTTAACAATAATGATTATACTACTTTCCAGTTCCGTCACTTTATTCCGACTATCGCTTACACCCTCTTCTGACTCCTTCTGTTTTTCTCTTATTCTCATCAGCTCAGCGCGAACACTGGCATCGCTATAAAGAAAATACCGCTGATGCAACAACCGACCTATCAGCGTTCCTTAGTATTCTATTATAACGAAAATGTTCCTTCATTAGGACGTCATCTTTAGCCTTGATATCGCCTTCTAATTCTTCTACTTCATGATTCCTAAAATTTCTCATAACCATTGACATCGTTACGACAATTATTATTACATAACTTTCAGTTGTCGTCTCAGCTGAGATATTTCATCTTCTGATTCTTTCAATTTCTTACAGTATTCATTCCTACATAATAATAAGAACAATAAGATCCCCCAGCACATACCTCTCAGCTCTAGCATCATCATATAACCCTTTTTGTATAACCAGTTCAGCATTATCCTCATTGATTATCTTACGTGCTTCAATGACTTTATTTTCTCTGATGAAAACCAATATAGCTGCTCATCTACACTACCAGTGAATACCTTGTTTTGATCTCCTCTATTCCTCTCATACATTTACTGTTCGCTGTTGATATGTCCAGACCGAATTTCTCTTAATACACAGCGATGCTCACCATCATCATCTTTGTTGTTTTTATCATTACCTCGTTCTTTGATAAGTGTTTGTATTTCACGCTTGTCAACATCAATTTTCTTCTTTACATTATTGATCTCATACTCCAAGCCGTCATTCACCCTCTCGATGCGCTCCATCTCATTCAGTTCCTTCTGGCCCTTACTATGTATTCTCATGAGTAACTTATTGAATACATCCCTATCAGCCAACAGAGTATCAATCTATAAACAACTCTTTATCATCGTATAACTACGTCCCGCCATTACCGTGGATGCATCATTCACAGCAAACTTCCTTATAGATTTCATAGTATTCATAATTTCCGTCATAACTCGTGCAGAGATCCTGACAAGACTATATGTCGTTATTATAATCATCATAGCATCATCACTTCTCCTTATCATTCACCAACTTCCTCTTCTTATCATCATCACTGATTTTACCCAGCTTGAGATTAGCAATATCGTTATCAATCTTTCCCTAATCATAACCATCAAAGCCTTATCAAGACTATATCACTAATCATCGCAATGTAATGATTACATCATATTATCATAATAATGATATATACATTATTACTTTATCATGTTTGGCTTTACCCAGTGCACTGTTGATGATATGAAGTTCATTCTCAATCTTCTTATGATTATCGTCCGCCTCTATCCTTGCTTCAACTTCCTACTTCCACTCATGACAAGCGTCATCATCATGTAGTCGGTTTTACTTTGTGGTAGATACCCTTTAACATATTCAGCTCATCAGTGTTCTCCTCGTTAGTCGCTATGATCCTCTCATGCTGTCTTCTATCCTCCCTCAATTCTTGCTCTAATCTGTAACATTACCATCATCACTATATATTCCTCTATGGCTCTTATGACGTATGTAAGTCATGAACTAGAGTATCGAGAGTATTATGTTGTTCATTCAACTCTTCCTCTTGTGTGGCCACCTTCTTAGCTACCTTCAGCACCTCAGCCTCCATCCTGAGCAGCATCGTCATGACACCTCCATCACGTATCATCATCATCAACGCTACCGGTCCTTCCTTCTACCCTCCTTCTCCTCAATATCCTTATTCGTTCCATAGGCCAATCGTACATCCTCAAGCTGATACTCATACTCCTATTACATGTTCTAACGCTTCTTACATCTTGTGATAGCGCCTCATGTTTCATCTTCAATTCCTCTACATCTTGTGTGAGTGTGTTCTTCTTCATTGTGAGGTCAGCGGACTGCAGTAATAGTCACTACTGTATAAGTACTAATGCTATTATCACTATATCGTTCAACTTCTGAGTCTGCTCCTTGAGTTTATCAATATTATTCTTCAACGCATTGATCTTCACCTCTCTATGCTGTGCTTTATGTATACCCTAAATAACCTCATCATACGAGTATTTACTTACTCCTTTTACGACCTCATCTAACACGGTCGTTAAGGTGCTCAACTCCTCTCTCAAGGACTTGATAGTAGTAGACGCTATATTATGCTTCTCATCAGCTGCCTCTACCGAACGCCACAAATCTTCAGTCTCTTCCTTTAGTTTTTCTATCAACTTCTGATCCTCATCACTATAATCAATATTATCATACATCGCATGAGCGTGTTCATCACCTTAGTCGTACAGCAGTCTTCACTTTGTTGATATTATTCTCCATCTCCGATTTGAGACGATCATATTTATCATATAATCGTCTTTCTGAATCATTGCTTCTCTGCAGTGCTCTATATAATTTGAAATACTCATTCTTCAGATGTCGTAATGATGGTTCATCGAGTACTCCCTGATTTGCTCGAGTTGTGGTATGACAATAATACTGTGAATATTGCTACTTGTATAACAGTATCCAAATCTGCTTCCAACTTATCGAATGCTTCCAGACTCTTCTTGACAATATCAATTTGGGTATCATCCTTCTCCTCCTTTTTACCATCATTCTTACCTTTTTTCGGTTTATTCTTCTTATTCTTAGGAGCCATAAGAGCTATGAATAACAAGGGAACTAGTCAGATGTGTTATCTTAATTATGACGTGAATGACATTGCTATTAATGATAGCACGTTGATAATAGTCGTGTGAAAAGATACAAGAATGCTTCCTGTATTCCCTCTCCAGTGTTAGCGCTTGTCTCGAAATACTTCATACCGTTCTGTGCTGCATAGTCCTCACCTATCACCACCAGATGACCAGCGTAACTAGCGTTATCATCCTTACCTTGTTCTCTAGTTACTACTCTCAATGCTTCAACATCTATCTTATTAGCTACCAGTATGATAGGGATCTTATCCCTACCAATCTTACTGTTACATTCTCGTATGGTGATGAGCTCATTGAGCCAACCATCTAGTGCTCTAAACGATGCCATAGACGTCACATCATACACCAGCAGTCCACTCTGATGGTGGGAATTATCATCATATGTGTATTCTTATTATTACTTGTGTGTTATCATAAAATTCAATCCTGATATCTCTGAATTCATCATGTCCAGCCATATCGAAGAGATTTATCTTCATAATATGACTCTTCCCTTCTCCACTGTATTTGATAGTCTTTGTACCATAATCGATACCGATAGTACTATCACCATCATCATTGTCATCTTAAGCACTAGTCTCATACTATCACCTTATATATCGTTTGATAAATCTTCCCTCACAATACCTCTTAACTATACAGCTCTTACCAACAGCCTCCGCTCCCATTGTTATTATCTAATACTCACTAGTGCTACTACAAGTGGTCGACTGTTCTTACCTTGTATCGCGGGGCTCCTACGGAATGGTTGATGATGTTTATATCAATAGTTATGTTGGCGTATGTACTGCTACCTCTCCCCTTCTCACTAGTACGTCTATGAGTGGCTTCCCCACGATTCTTAGACGTTAATCGTTTTATGAGATCATCCCTTTCAATGCAGTCATCATGTCTAATACCCAAACTCGTGAGTCTATCCTTGAGTTCCTTTATACTCATCATATTATACGATACCCCATCACTCCTACTCGTTCCACCCGCCTCACTCTTCACCTTATCGTCACCATCATAATGCTTTTTAGGATGTGGTTTGTCTGCTTGGCTCCTTCTTGGTTGTTCTTGTTTCCTGCTGATTATACCATCTGTTTTATTCTTCTTATTGTACCTAAAGGGAATTACTATACATAGCGCGACGCTACATTACATATATCGTGTGTTGGTGTTGGACAAGACCTCGAAGGCTTGCTTCACTGACTTGAACATTTCCTCATCCCCTCCTTTATCAGGATGATGTATTAAGGCTGCCTTCTTATACCTACACTAGCCCAATGATAGTGCTACTACTGATGCTACGACTTACGCTTTTTTAATGTCATCTAATGTTGCCTCTCTGTGTATATTGAGTAGATAGTAATAGTTACTACCCCCACTAGACATGTCCATACTTAGTATGTATATCGAAAACACTTGTATTAGATCCTTAGAATGGCTGTTAGTCAACACCACGAGCCACGAGATCTTAAGCGTTTTCGTGGTCATCCTGTACATCCTAAAAGCTTCACCGATGGTTACCAAGTCTCGACATGTGACGAAGCAGCAAGTCGAGAGGAGCTCTGTGGCAAATCGGAGGTCCTCGCGGATCTTGGCACCTTTATCATTGTGTCATAAATTAGATTTCGCCCGAGATCCTGTCGTATCAATCGGTTTCGTATCTTACGGTTTCAGATCGGAACTGTTGATCGATTTTGATAACTGGGTCTATCAGTAAGATGATCTCGATGTTCAGGACCGAGTCCAGAGCAGTGTATTACACGGGAAATACGATGCCAGAATCGACTCTGAAGTCCAGGATTGGCTGATCGGGTAGAATGTCGTAACTTTCCGGGGTGAGATTTGCAACACGGCTCATTGTTAATGAGCCGTTTTGCTAATCTCGTTTAGTTCAAGCAGGAATATGGGATTTGTGTTGCTGGCAGAAGAATCCTCCTCGGGTTATGTGATGTCGTTTCGCTGGAACTCTATACCTTTCAGAAATCTTTCTGGCGGATTAGGCTACCGATTCAGCGGATAAGAAAGTCACCTTCGCGGATAGGGACACCAATCTAGCGATGAGAGTCGAACAGGGAAATCAATTTCGCGAGTAAAGACATCAATTTCGTGATTAAGGAATGCAATTTCACGAACAAAGATATCAAATTCGGGTTAGAGTTCCATGAACATAAAAGATTCTTCGTGCTGCTAGAAGCGAGTGATAATGTGTAAACGAATCCTTCACGCTGCGCTGAAGTATCCTCCCCGAAATTATTTCTGGGAAGATGTAGTCCAGGCGGAAATCGGCCCCTGAAGCGAGGGCCAATCCCGCTTCAAGGCCGAATTCCAAACATAAGGTGGAGGCCAATTAAGGAGAAGGCCAATCCAGCCGAGGGGAAAAGGCGTGAGCGAAGCCAATTCAACTAAAATTGGTATGCTTGGGATTCCCAAGCATCCACTCGGATTCACTTCTCTATGTACTGGTGTGATACAGTATCTCCACATGTTTAAGTTCTCACCAGCGTATTCAAGGTTTTTGTCCACAGCGATAGCAGCCTCACACATCAATCAGGTCTGTCAATGGCCTAGTCACAATCCCTCGCACGTAATATACCGTCCGAGGACCGAACCTGGACTACTCATTTGGGAGGTGGTTATCTTAACCATTAGAGTGATAATGCTGATGGTAGTTTGTCCAATTTACCCTGAAGATGAGGCATCACGTGACACGTATATTGGGTCCTTGGCTACCGAATGGCATCTTGTATCCCTGTCCCCAGCAGAGTCTGCCTGATCTCTATCGGCATAGGCGGTCATTTCAACGAGTCTTCTCTAGTTCACCCGAATATTCTCCGATCAGCATCGCCAGAATCCATCACCACACTGGAGGTCGTCCTATCGGACTTCATCTTGAGGTATGCTAATACAGTGTACTACACTGAGTGTAGCCCTCTCTACATTTTACTCAAATCATCATCTTGTCTCCAGGTGTCCTCCCCAACGTCGACTAGGTCGTTGGTTATCCCCATACAAGCTGGAGATAATGTTGGTGCCCTTTGCGGGGTATGTCAACTACCAATCCCTCTCTCATCTATCATCAATTCAGAAAGTTCAACACGCTGTTGGTTCGCCTCGAGTTGACATCCGCACCAACCCACCCGAGAGTATCCTAATATCATCAGAAGAATCGGCGTTGAAGCTGCTTGATATTGAAGACGGCTTTCATGTAGGCTGCTAATTGCTCACGGGGATACATTCTCTCTCCTCCAATATCCAACAGGTCGACACTGTAAACGATCTGTGAAGTACTCTCTATAATACTCTTGGACACTGGTTGCAATGATGTCCCCGGACTGGTGATCCTCAGTTACATGTCGCCAAGGAGACAACTGAGGGTTCTCAGTCAATTGAGGTGCTACCTTTGGGTAGCAGCAGCCAGCTCGGGTCCAACGATGCGGAGCGGCTCACAGCTTTGAAAGATCAGCGTCGGGAGATGCTAGCCCTACAGAAAGATATCCAGGACCTAGCGTTAAGGAAAACCAAGTGAGCAGGTCAGACTGCTTACTATTGATACTCCCTTACAGCAAGTACGCTATCGGCGGAGTGGTACTGTTCTCCCTCGAGTGGGTTTTGGTCTACTACGGCACATACTGCCTTTATGGCTGGGATGTCATGGAGCCGATAACGGTGAGGTCTCGCTGGTCTGACCAGCCTGCTCACAGCGGAGTGATATTTCATCGGCAATGAGATCTCTAAACTAACTAGGATGGTAACCTCCTGGTAGGCTACGACTCGTAGCCGATTACGGGTGGGGAATGAATTCTGCTACACTGATGATACTTCCAGCGTACGACGAGATGGGAACTGGGTCCTATCATCACTCGGTCACCGAGTATCGGTCATCCTGTATCATGTTTTCCCCGCGGTATCATTGAATTCGCTATTTAAAGGATGCGGCCGATTCAGTCTATATAACTCAGTGAGATTCAATTTCGTGGTCGTGTTTCTTCAGTACCTCCTAGCATTACTCGACGTCATCGTCACATATGCTTTCTTTATGCTCTGGAGAGAAGACTTTTCCCCAAAAACCTTACAACAGGTGAAATCTCCTCTTCATTGGTGGTGTCTACTTCATCTACCTCCCTTCAAGGGAGTTCCTTAGACTATAGCCACTAGCTCGCATTGTACTGAGTTCAGTCAGTATGTGGTCATAAGAATGTGGCATATTATCCTCTCGATTATTCCGCATACAACGCACCAGGCCAATCTTCTCTATCCTTGCGTTTATCGTTTTTGCCGTAGGTTATTTACGCCAGGCATGAGCGAAAACTGAGCGAGGCTCGGGGCTTCGATGTGGAAGTGCAAAAAGCAGTGGAGAGAGAAATAACACTGCTAGAGAAAAAGCTCAGGAAATGATCCGTTGTGAGTGCGCTAGCCATGTTTCCTCGCATCATCCCTGATGTTCCGTTCGGTCATACGATGGCTACAAGCAACGAGTGTGTACTGCTCGTGTATCTCGAACCTCGATGTCTACTGAATGATGCTAGTGGGCCAATCCTGAATCATCTTCACAGCTGGAGTGTAACGTCTACGGACGGTTAGATCGGCGACAGATATATGCACCAGCACTTTTCAAGGGGAATTTCCTCTTCCTTTGTTTGCGTCAGGGGTACGACAGTTTGACTCAATCAAGTTATTTGACCTTGTCAGTGTACGGTACATTATGTACCCAGAATTTTATGAGAGTCATAGTCCTCACGTGCACGTTCGTCTCCTTTTTATGAGGAGATATTCGGTTACTGCGCCGGACAAGGTACTTCTGACTAGAACCTCGTGGCAAGACGTCTTGTTGAAAAGGCTTTCTGGGCGCCTTGATCCCTCCCTAACTCACTATCGCTAACGCATCGTCTGTGGCAGAAGAGAAAAGCTTATCAGAAATCCCAGAGTGATAGTGATATAGTCCGGCCAGAGTGATATCATCCCCTCATATCATGGGGGTAAAATTCTATCGTGTCCTTCCTCATATTCATGACGTAAACGTGACACCTTAAGCAAACCTTGCCTGGCAAACTCATTGAGGAAAAATGTGTACAGGAAGAGATTGTCTTCTCCTGAAGGTAAACGACTCAGTTTCTCGTGAGCGAGCAGCTCTAGCGGAAAAGTGTCTAACTGGGACCCCCAACTTACTCAGGATCGTCTTGAATCCGAGTTTCTCGTAGAGCTTGATGGCTGGCAAATTCTCGACATCAACCTCCAGGGACAAAGCAATAATCCTGAATTCACTGGTGGCCTGAAAACGGACGTATCACTCGAACGCCCTTGGGAAGAGGGACCCCCTCCTTCCTCCTGTTCATGAGAGTTGAACATGAGCACAATGCGTGGCCGCTATTGCACTTTCGAGCTCCGGAATTCCCGGAGAGTTATAAAAATGGATCCTCACCTTGAGGATGGCACATTTCAACAGTGCCGATACCCTTTCCTCTCCAGGGGTCCACAACTTCAACCTGAGATTGAGATGGCTACCCCAGATATTGACTGGTCTCCACCAGCCGGAGTTCCTAACTCAAGCTGAATAGCCAGTAGTGTTCCTCGCGATTGGGCTATCAACACCCACCCGTGAATCCGGAATTCGGAGCTCGAATAAGAAAGCGTGATACCCGGAGGCTCATCGGGAGCCCTCCGATCACTCGACAGTGTTGCATAGATTCGACCTTACTCCAAATTGAGTCGACATATAGTTTCAAAAGATTTCTGCTTCAATTTCGCGCGGTTTCGACTTGATTTCTCAACACGCTATGCCGTAAAATGATAGAAATATGCTTTTACATCTTTATTTTTATCATTGCGTGTTGGAGAATTTAAGACGATGTTGCAAATCAATTTGGAGCACTGTAGCGATAAATTATCGAGTAGTCCCCTTCAAGGGTCCTCAATGGCTCACATATATTATGTAACCGAAGTCGCGGCGACTTAGTCGCCTTTCACCGCTGGATGTGGCCTGGAAGAGAAAATCTTTTGGTTGCTGAAGCTCACGGCTCACATTCTGAGAATGTGAGCCTGTGAGCATGTGAAAAATAGCTATTAAGAAGAGAATGTCAATCTCTTTTTAATAGCAAGAAGACGACGGACGAAGACGACGGATCTCATCACAACCATCTTACCTCGAATACCGATGTCGTGGGACTTCCAGATGTTGTGGAGCCGATGAAGGTTGCCCCCCGACTCGAATTCGATCACGTATTGCCTTCACGTATCCAGCTTCACTAGATATCAAGACTCCCAGTTGTCGATAGTCTGTAACCACCGCCACTCTATTATGCTCGCTGTCGTGTTGACAATTGATAAGTAGTCTCCTTCCCGGTTCACCGATCCTTAAACTGAGATTTGCTCGAGCAGCCTCCTCTTCTAACGCA